CAGTCTCTGTATGATTTTCCAGAAGCCATTTGCTAAATCCATATTAATCCTTAAAATTCAAGCAGATTTTTTAAAAGCAGACGGGTGCCAGAAGTGTTTTATACGTACTCATACCTAAGAGAATAATTATGATGGCAATTTCCCAGGATTACACCGCCCCAGTGAACGGTGAGCCCACAGGGTAATTCAGGCTCTGACTACCTCCTACCTACTATGCCCTCATCCTTTAAGTAGCAGAGAGACAGTTCTACCAGAAAAGAAGGCAGATTTAACCCAAAGTGATTAACATGCTGCCACTGAGAATGACTTTAACATGGCAAGTATCTTGTTGGTGTATTACTTTGGTATGAAACTAAATCAGTGGCATAATTATTCTGTATTTTATCAGCAGAGTAATAAGACACAGTGAGCAGAGATGAACTGCAATTAAGATGGGTCTCAAATGTTACTTGAGAGTTGCTTTTGGTAAGGAATCCAGATTGTGAAATTTTGTTCCTGTACAGATTTCTTCTGTAGCCAGCAGAACCATATTTTCTCCCTGAAAAAGACAGGTTTCTGAGACAGACCATTCACTCCTACACATCAGCTGAAAGCATTTTCGTTTTTCTTTAAGAACAACAAGAACTAAACAAAATTCCATTTATCACTCAAAAGATCTGTCTAGTTAGTTAGACAGTTTGCATTATTTGTAAAGCGAGTTAAGAGACTCAGGATTTGGATTTGCATTCATCCTTCCTGGACTAGGTAAATACTTGCTGCTAATCCCCATGGGGTAAATGAAGTTCAGTTCAAGGACCACGTTTCCCATAACTAGAAAGGGTGAATTCACTACTTGCCTCCCCGGAATCCCAGATTCCACTGGAATTCATAGAGTTGAAAAACAAGAATAGGTGTGTGTCTGTGTGTGGATACAAATATCTATGCACAAATGAATATACAACACACACTTATATGTGGATATAGATACATAAACCAAAAAAAAAAGCACTCAGAAACAGTCTTTTCTTATATTCCACATTCCTCTGTGGAATAACCTCTGATCCTGGACAGCTTCTTCATATCTAGGTCCTTAGTGTGTGTTTTCCTCTCTTCCCTGCCACCATATCTGGGGCATTCCTAAATCAGAGTGGATCAATCCGTGCTGACTTGGCTGACGGCATCTTTTGACAAATACACAGGTTCCCAGTAAAAGAACTCTTCCTACTCTTAAATCAGCGTTGGAAAACAAACAACATCTGTGCAGGATATTTCCTCATGTGTTGCAAGAGGAACAAATTTTGTATTTGCCACAAAGTGGTGCACAGGCACACGACATTCATGCTACCACTTCAGGCTCCTGAGAAACGCTCTTCTCCAGCCACAAAAAGCAGAAGACGGCTGTGGAGGTTTAAACCCAGAGGGCAACTGAGCATCACACGTCCTCTGGCTCACTCCTGCCCCCACTGGGGGATGGGGAGGAGAAAATATAATAAAAGGCTCAGGAATTGAGACAAAGACACTGAGGGCTCACTCACCAATTCTGGTCACAGGCAGAAGACAAGCTTGACTTGGAAAAAAAACAAAACATCAATTTAATGTGAACACCACCACCACTAATTTACCAATCAAATCAGAGTAGGGCAGTAAGAAATACAACCACATCTTAAAAACACCTCCCTCCTTCCCAGGTTCAGCTTTGCTCCCAATTTCTCTACCTCCTCCCCTGTAGCAGCACAAGGGGGCAGGGGATGGGGGTTGCTGTCAATCTCTCACATGTTGCCTCTGCCGCTCTTTCCTCCCCAGGGGGGGACTCCTCACGCTCTTCCCCTGCTCCAGCGTGGAGTCTCTCTCCCAGGAGACAGTCCTCCACAAACTTTCTCCGCCATGAGTCCCTCCCATGGACTCCAGCTTTTCCCGAGCTGCTCCTGCATGGGTCCTTCCTATGTGTTGCAATCCTCTCAGTGCGAATTACCAACAGACTTCTTCAGACACAGCCACCTGCTCCAGGGCACCTCTCCCACCCCTCCTCTTCCTTTCTTCCACTGACCTCAGTGTTTGCAAAGGCATCTCCATCACTCTTCCTCCCAGGTTCTCCTTCTTAAATACATTATCACAGAGGTGCAGCCACCATCGCCAACCGGCTCGGCCTCGGTGCAGAGGTGGGACCGACTTGGAGCCGGGGGAGCTTTGAGAAGCTTCTCCCAGGGGTCACCCCTGTAGCCTCCTTCTCTGCTACCAAAAACCCTGCCACACACAGACCCAACACAACAGAAAACTAGTCCACTGCACCACTTTTACCTGATGCTTCCTATAGCATAAGCTCCTGGGGTTTCAACAGCAAGCTTCATAGACTACTCCATTACTGAACAACTGTGTTTTAGGACAATGGAGGGAAAATCACTTAAGAGGAAGGAACAGCTATACCAGATAGGCCCCAAAATCCACCTTACCCAGCATCCTGTCTCGTACACTGGATGCTAAATGAAGACCAAGGCAGCCATAAAGCACAGTATTTTCCAAGCAGCAGCTACTTCTGGCTACGGAACACTTGGAGCCAGAACAAACGGGGCAGGTTATTTGTCCAAGGTTATCCAGTTGCTTTTTAACCCACACAGACCCACTGCAACTGGGCATTATGGATGTCACACATCTGCAGCTTCACCACCTATTAAGTAAAGAGCACTTCTGCCCAGCCTGAACTACAACTTGCTGACTGCATTTGAAGCTCCTCAGTGGATGGAGAACAACCATGCCTTGTCTCTCTCAGCCATGAACACTTTCTGCATCATCTGGAATCCTGGAGATGCCTGCGATGGCTCACCTCAGCTGGCTCTTGTCCAGTCTGTAATCTACACTGTGGATTCCTGCAGAGAAACTACTGCACAGCTTTGGTTATCCTCCTTGTTCTCCTCTGTTTGCCTTTCCCGTCACTCCAAAACTCCACCGGTGACCTTCCCACAGTACCACAACTAACCCAGTTTATTTCTAAGCTGCTTTGTAACTTTTGCCATATTGTTCACACCTGAGATACCACCATCTTATCATGTGGCTGCATAATTTCTCTAGAAGCCATGCGTGTGTAGACTTTTGCAATTCCAGGTGTGAATGCATTCATAAGTCTCACTCACCCTTGTCACTGACTCTTTCAGAAGGAAACTCCAAAAGACTTCAGAAGCAGGATTTCATTTTCCAGAAGCTGCTTTGATTCTTCCCCAGACTACCACATTCAACCCCATGTCCAATAGCAGTTCTGGTTTTGTAAAATACTTCCCACCACTTTTCCTGGCACAGATGCCAGATTTAATGGACAACAACTCCTACATGTTCTCTAGACTCAAAACCACCATCACAACAGGAAAGGTGGATTGCATGGTGCCAGCTACATTTGTCTGATACCACAGAAATCTGAAACAGAAAGGTTGAACACCATGCTTGGCAGAAGCAACATTTCATCCACTGAGCTTTCTTAAAACTCCTGTCACCAGTTCTTGACATCCACCCATTTGACCAGCCTGTGCTGTAAACTCTGCAGTCAGAACTTCTAGTTCCATTGGCCTTTTTCTTACATTTTTTTTTAAATTTTTAAATTTCTTTTTTACTCATGCATGTGCTTTCACTCCCTGCAGGACAGAACTGGAATACAAAAAGATGCCAAAACAGAATGCTGAGTTTCACCAACATGTAAACTGGGCTACCTTCCCAGAGAATAGTAAATTTAAACAATTCCCACAGCATTCCGTAGCAACACCCACTACTAGGAGCCAGAAGTGACAAGAAGATTGATTACTCAAATGCTGTCTGACCATCCTGGGGTGTGTTTTTATTTTTAATAAATACATACATTAAAAAAATAAATAGACAAACGAACTATACCTTAACTTTTTTTAAAACTATACGCAAAGACTGAACCCAAAGAGAAAAGAGAAATTATCAAAGACACGTTTGTCTCAAAAGAGGTAAAAAGAATTGGCTTATTATTTCTTTGAAGACCTGGGATAAAAATGACCTCAAAATAAATTAAAAATATATGCCACTGATGTGTATATTAATTAAACAACTCCTCTTTTCATTTTTATTCAATTTTTCTTCCTCCAAGTCCTTCAAATATTATTCTGGTGATACTCTATTCATGCACTGCAAGTTTGGATCAGCAAACCGTCACCTAATGGTGAACCCTTTCCCTGAAAAGCACTTACTACCATCTCAGTCTGTTGAAAATAACAGTCCTGGAAAGCTGAACTAAAAGCTTCAGTCAAGAGACTCTACAGGAGAAGCAATAAACCCAGAATGAATACTCTCAGCTAAATACCTCTGTCAACAATGAGAAAAGCAATATTAATGACTAACAGCCACATCTGAGGCTGTATCAGCAACATGAGGAAAACAACAAAACAGTTTGCAAGATGTTACATAGTGGTAATCATACACACTGCTTTTTAAGTAGGTATGTGTACATTCTTCACAAAGGACTTCCATCCCTTTGGCAACACTGTCCTGTCAGAAGCACTGCCACAAAAGGCTTGTCTAACCTTCTGATGTCTCCCAGTGCTTTTGGGTTTTGGAGGCAGAAGGTGGAGGTGCCACAAAATTTATAATGCATTTAGAAATAAAATAAATGTCAACCATCTATGCCTACGAAGACATACAAATACATTTGGGAATACAAATATATCTGTTGGTGCAGCTTCTTTTCCTTACATTTTAAACCATTAGTGTACAGGAAAGAAAGATAGAGGCCAGCATAAGGTTGGTAAACATGACTAATAGAGGGAGCAGAGATTTTATTCAGAAGTGCTGTTACTTGTAGCTTCTAATATTTCACATATTATACAATGAATGCTATTATGTACATTCAGTGTTCATTTTTACAATACTATACAATGATATATAAATTAAATGTTTTGCCACACCAACACTGACTGTGTGCACATCAGCTGGAACACCTGAGCAACCTTGTTCTGTTCCGGAGAGTGTCTTGGTAAACCACACTCTCACAGAAAACTGTGGCTAGAAGGCCCTACCTTCTCTTCCTGATGTACTCTGTTGGCATTTTCCATCTGAAAGCTGTGCAAGGACTGGATTTTGTCAATCTGCTGCCGCTGCTTCTCCAGCTCCCCTTGGAATTCATTCTTTTTGAGCTCCACAGCACCCCTCTCCACTGCCGCCCTGCGGACTTTGCCTTCCAGATCCATGATCCGACCCTGAGGAAGAGTAAATTAGCCAGAGCAAAAAGAAATGCTTCCCCCTTGACTGACTCTTCTCCAATACATTCAAGGAATACTAAATTTCACAGAACTAACAATGCTAATGTCATCAATTTATTGCATCAGCCAGGGATATCTGCCACACACCCAGACACTCCCCCCCCGCCCCCCCCCCCCCCCCCCCCAGTTTTACATAAATTAACAGTACAGCATATTCTGCAGAGACTATAAAAATTTCAGTTAAAGAGAAATGCAAAGTTGCCTTAGCCCTTGACCTTCAAAAAAACCAAACCACCCACACCCCCCCTATACCCCACCCACACATCCTCCAAAAAACACTAAAAAAAGATTGCAGTCTACATGAAGTACAAGGTCAAATAATTTTTTAAATTTAATCAGACAGTTCTGACATCACTGCACTTTCCAGTGTTGATCCTAAGGTAACTCAGAGGGAAAACTCATCTCTCAAATCAATACATTTTCCTGGAAGACTGGGAAAGAGTAGAGGGAGGACAACACTGCTCAACTGTTACATAAACTACTGACATATGGCTGTTGCATGACACATACAAAAAAACCTCATTTATACACAGAAAATCTTGATTGCTCAAAGAGCAGTGACAAACAGAGGAAAATTCAACACCATCACATACTGCATATACAAACACAGAGACATAAGGTAAGGAATCAAGCTTGATGCTGTCACAGCTGCTTTTTTTTTTTTTTTTTTCTTTTAATATACCAATTTAGTTACCAGCAACAAGGAGTACAAAGAGACATGCGGGTGGGGAACATCAACAGAATTTCCTCAGGTATAAAGACCCAAGGATTCCAGATGGATTATGAAATAGATATAATAAAAACTGCATCTGCCTAGACTCCAAGAAAACGGACCAAACCTTCTTACACTACAATATGCTGTATATTACTGCCCGCCTACTCTGCTCCTCTGCCACAGAAAGCGAGAGAATGGAGAGGATGTTGGGCAGGGGCCCAGGGGGGAGAATGTGCAGTTTATCTGGAAGAACAAAGAAAAGCACTTACTCCATTTCAGTCATAATAGCTGTAAAGTCTTGCCAACAAACGAATAGACTGACAGAGTGCTCTAAAGCTCCACCCCTGCCTTCAAATATGCTTTTATTTCATTCAGAGGGCACCACTATGCAGAAGTGAAATGCTTTTCAAACTGACTTTGGGAGAAACATACAGTATGATACAGGAAATCAGTAACAGTAAACAGGACCTTATGTCTCTTAAGTTACAGAGATCAAGAATAAGCTGGTGTGGTAACTTATTTTCCTCGCTATCAGCTGCCTCATGGCCGTGCCCCAAAGCTTCAGCAGCACTGACAGAGGTAGCTGCCATCCTGAGGCCACAGATGAACAGGAGATCAAGGGATGACCAGAGCCCCCAAACACAGGGTGTCATACCCTCCTACCGAGGGAAAGCTAACACAAACCATTAACTGCACGGCCAGACGTGTCTCCTGTTCAAGTAGTGCCCACTCCGAGGTGAAACAGGAGTTCAGTTCCTACAGCTGGGTCTCGCTTTAGGCCTGGCCGGCAACAAAGCACCATGCAGCCGCTCGCTCACGCCTTCCCCTCGCCCCAGCGGTGGGACGGGGAGGAGAATCCCAAGAAAAACAAAAAGTAACACCCTGAGGGCCGAGATAAGGGCATTTTAATAGTACAACACAGGAGGAGAAGAAAACAGTAACAACAACAATTCTAATAAAACTAATATATAAATCGAGTGATGCACAAGGCAATCGCTCACCAGGCACACACACGCCCCCCTCCCCCCACCGGCCAGCTCCTCTACTTATATACTGGGTATGACATCAGCTTGGTGTCAAATATCCCCCGGGCTGGTTTGGGTCACCTGCCCTGGCTGTGCCCCCACACAGCTTCCTGTGAAAATTAACCCTATCCTAGCCAACCCCAGGGCAGTATCCACCCCTTGTTCTACATCACGCCCAGATCCTACACTTTCCAATTATTTGCCACCCCTTTTTCTCTGTCCTTGATGTATGTATATATGCATATATATATGTATATACACACACAGAGGTATCATTGCCTTAGTCTATGGGCCATCCCTCTAACATGTCCACTGAGTTCATTTAACCCATGGCTTTGGGGCTCCATCTGTTGCAGCAGGCTGTCAGGGCAGGAGATAGTGTGTGCTGTTGGATTGCTGCAGGCTGCATCCAGAGCTCATGGATGGTGTGTCTGGCACAGCCCATACCCATGGTCAGCACGTTGGAGATGTTGATCTTGAGGAAGCTGCTGAGCGCCAGTTGCTGGAGCCAGTACAAGCTCCATCACCACCACACTTCACTTTGTTTCCTCAAAGTCCATCCTTCACTGATTTGGGTGATTCTTACTGTGATATCATTCATGTGGCACACAGGAACTGAGTAGTGATGACATACAGTGGCAGGGCTATTTTGCAATTAACATCATAATTCATGGGCTATTCTTACCCAAAATAAAATCCCCTTGAGGTACGCATCGAACCTCCCCATGCTTCCACATCACCCACCAAGTGCAGCCAGGTCCTTGAGCCAAAGTAATCCCACAGTTGCATTTGTCTTTGCCCAAGGCAGGAACAACCCAGACTGTCTTCCCTAACATATTCTTCCTGTGCACTACAGGGACTTTATCCCTTCTACAGCATGTGACAGCGCAGGGCCAGCTATGTTGCCTGATCCCCTAGTGTTAACTAGCCAGTTGGCTTTTGCTAAATGTGTACCCCAAGGCTGAAGGTCCGTCTGGCCGGTCCATGATTACTTCCAGAATTCCTGGGCGACTGGGGGTTTCCTGTGCAAGCCCGCTGTGTGATCAGTGCAACCCACTTACTCCACGTGGCATCAGCTGCACGGTGTGTAGAGGTGACCTGCCCTCTGAACATCCAGCCTGGCACCAGCAGTTGGGGTGTCAGGAGGACCTGTGCTTCAGTGCCAACCACTTCTGAAGCAGCTCGGACCCCTTCACGTGCTGCCAACATCTCCTTTTCAGTTGCAGTATAGCGGGCCTCGGATCCTCTGTATCCCCAACTCCAAAACCCCAGGGGTCGGCCTCAGGTCTTCCCTGGTATTTTCTGCTAGAGACTCCAGGTAGGGCCATTCTCCCCAGCTGCAGTGTAGAGCACATTTTTAACAGCTTGTGCTGCCTGGACTAGCCCAAGGGCTACTGCATGAACAATCTCCCATTTAATTTGTTCAAAGGCTTGTTGTTGCTCAGGGACCCATTTGAAGTAATTTTTCTTCTAAGTCACTTGATGGAGAGGGCTTACAATCAGACTGTAATCTGGGATATGCATTTTCCCCAAACCCACAACACCTAGGAAAGCTTGTGTCCCCTTTTCACTAGTTGGTGAAGACATAGCCGCTACATTGTTAATCACATCCATTGGGATCTGACAACACTCATCTTGCCATTTTATTCATAAGAACTGGATCTCCTGTGCAGGTCCCTTGACCTTATTTTTCTGGCAAAACCAGCCTTTAGAAGGATTTGAACTAGCTTCCTCCCTTTTTCAAGAACTTCTGCTGTGTTGCCCCATAAGATGATGTCATCAATGTAGTGTAGGTGTTCCAGAGCTTCACCCTGCTCCTGTGCAGTCTGGATGTGCCCTTGACAAATGGTGGGGCTGCATTTCCACCTCTGGAGCAGTTGATTCCAAGTGTACAGGATACCCCACCAAGTGAAAGCAAACTGCAGCCTGCACTCTGCTGACAAAGAGACTGAGAAAGAACACATCAGTAATATCAGTTATGGCATACCTCTTGGCTGCCTTGAGTCCAGTTGGTATTGAAGTTCTAGCATGTCCAGCACAGCAGCACCCAGTGGCCCCATGACTTCATTCAGGCCAAAACAGTCTACTGCTAGACTCCACTTTAGGTTAGACTTTTGCACTGGCTGTCTGGGACTATTAAAGGTGAATGAGTCTTACTGGTTACCTTGTCAATGCCCCCTTTCCTAAACAGGAATCCCAGCTGCCTGGCTTTTCTACCCTCTAATTCCACACTACTGGCCCTGCTATCCCAGCATCAGAGCAGGCAGGTACCAATGTGTCCACCTGGATGGCAGTCAAAATACTTTTACGTATCTCGTAGCTCACTCAGGGACCAGGATCGGGTGATTATCTCTGTCTCTGTCTCTTCCTCCTGTTCTCATGATGACCCTGGTTCACTTTCATTCCTCACTGAGCGAACTGATTTTTTTTGGTACTTCTTCTGTATAGGGGCAACTGATACTGGCACAGGTTGGTCCTCTGGTTCAGTTGCAGTGCCTGTCACCAGGGCTTTAGCTGCCAGAGCTCCTGTCAGTCTGTTTTCCCTCCTTTCCCGCTGAGGGTGCTGCCTGTTATTGAGCAGTGTTCAGTAGATACTGGCCAGGGCTCAGCACAACACGTTAAGTTGTGCCTCTTCAGAATAGCCACAGCATCTTCCTTGCAAAAATTCTATCACTTTATCAGGGTCCTGTAGTTGTTCGGGAGTGAAATTCCAAACCAGCAGTAGCGAGAAGTTCTCTAGATACCTGTCCCTATTGTCCCACATGCCATGCCACCCAGGACTATCCAACCCTGGGGCAGATCTCTGGGTGACATTCTTAAATTTTTTTTTCTGTAATCCTAAACAAGACATGACACACATTCAGGATACACAACAATAACAGCATGCTGGCTGGAACATCCCAGGGATGTACAAAATTCTCAAAACCTGTTGTAATTAGCCTGAAGGAGAAAGTATCTTCCTCATCTTCCTCACAGATAGGGTGCGATTACTAATAAATCCTGAGAGAAGGCTCCCAAGGCATGAGCATGAATCAGTGCCACACACAAATACCAGTTTAAACTCATGACCAGTGCTGTAATCATATCAAAAATCATAGTATAGCAAAATCATAGTCCTGATCCCTCTCACAGAGGTGATACACATCACCACAGGGAATACATAGTGCATGTAAATACTTACATAACCCCACAATGTGAACAAATTAACCAACATTGTAACCAGCATCTATTTGAATAAGAAATGTGTGTAAGAAAATTGTCCGGACGCACTATGGTCAGATATTTGCCATCATCTCAACCCTTTGTGCCCCACCTTGGGCACCAAAAAGGAAGAAAAAAAAAAGAAAGTAACACCCCACAGGTTGGGACAAGGAGAGTTTAACACAGCAACAGAAGCAGAGAAGAAAAGCGTAACAGCAGCAGTACTAGTAAATGTAATACACAGAGCAAGTGAAGCACAATGCAATTGCTCACCAGTCGGTGCCCCAGTCTAAGCCGAGACATACACAGAGACACAGACAAACAGACACACCCACCCCCACAGCCCTCCAGCTCCACACTGGGCATGATGTCAGCTTGGTGTCAAATATCCCCTTGGCTGGTTTGATCACCTGCCCTGGCTGTGCCCCCTCCCAGCTTCTTGTGAAAAATAACCCTATCCTAGCCAAACCCGGGACAAGCTGTCAACTCAGTACTGAAATTCAGCTCGATTACAAAGCAATGTTTAATCACCAGGTTGATAGTTTTTATGATTGCTTGCTGGGGGAAAAAAAAAAAGACAAGAAGAAAGAAAAAAAAAAAAAGAAAAAAAAAAAAAAGAAAATCGAAAAACTGAAAAGGGGGGGAAAAAAAAGGAAAAAACAAAAACAAACACACAAAAACTGAGAAAAGGAGAAAAAAAGGGAAAAATGACAAGAAAAAAAGGAGGGAAAGAAAAAAAAAAGAAAAAAGGGGAAAAAAACGGGGGAAAAGGGGAAAAAAACGGGGGGAAAAGGGGAAAAAAACGGGGGGAAAAGGGGGGAAAAGGGGGGAAAAGGGGGGAAAAGGGGGGAAAAGGGGGGAAAAGGGGGGAAAAGGGGGGAAAAGGGGGGAAAAGGGGGGAAAAGGGGGGAAAAGGGGGGAAAAGGGGGGAAAAGGGGGGAAAAGGGGGGAAAAGGGGGGAAAAGGAAAAAACTAAAAAAGAACCATCTACACAGTCACAAACCAGAAACATTATTCACATACTCCTCAATCTCAGAACATGCACTCCTGAAAGGATTAGAACCCAAGCTCAGCAGTCAGAGAAAATACAGTTAGCATTAGAAAAACAGCAGACAAGGTAATTATTCCATATGAGTTGTGTGCCCTCTTCAGGGAAGGTTTCTAAGAAACACAAATTCAGATTTTTAGACATTTTCTGAACAAGCTAGATTTCCTTGTACTTGGTGGGAAAATATGCACACATTCTTATGGGTCATGTAAGAAAAAAAAAATCTAGGGAAATGAGCCAATTGCAGATGTCCACTGTGATTAAAAATGGAGTGCCAGTCTCAATATATAGTCAGGAAGAAAAACAGAGGATGACATTTGCCACATCGGTGAACTGAAACAGGACGAGATATCCAAATGCTTTGTGTGAGCAGTAGTAACAAGTACCATACACACAGGCCTCCAAGTTTTGGGTCCCTCTCACCTCCCATTCCCCCCACCTCCCACTACCGATAAGCACCAATAATACTTGTGAACGTAATACTTGTGAAAATGCCTACAACAAGCTGAAGCTCCCGGTCCACCACATTCAGGACAAGTATCCTTCTTGTGGACTATGTTTACTAACCACAGAAGTGCAAGACAACACGCAGGGCAATAGGAAAGTTACCTGCAGATCCACGCTGCGAGAACTCGCAATCCAGTAATTGAAGCCCAAAACAATGATGCATGCCACCAGCGCAGCCACGAGGAGAGGTGGGGACTTCATCCCTCGGCAGCTGTTTCCTAGCCCTACCATTTCAAGAAGAAAAAAAAAAAAAAAAACCACAAATCCAAAGAACCACAACAGTGTGGAAACCTGCAAATTAAAATAGACACATTATAATGCATCCTCCGCTACAGCTATTTTATACACACATTGAAACTGCAATAATGCAACAGCTCCCAGCTGAAGGCACTACACCTAGCGAGGAAGGTGCACCATCTAGGTATTTTCATCTGAAGGACAAAGAAACGCTATCTTGTACTATTAGCTTGTATATAAAGCTTCATATGGACCAGAGGGGGGAAGTCTTGAACATTCCTAACAATATACTGAGTATCTGCAATAAACAGAACAAATTATTCATCTTTTTATTGCATATTCCACCCAAAAATCTAATTAGATAACGCTGGTCTACAGATAGAGGACAGATTCCTTGTTGTCTCATTTAGTCAGAAAATAAACTTAGTCTCACTATTTCGGGAGTAATTTGCACTTTGCTTCCCAAACTTGGGTAGTTTCAACTTATTCCCGCTGATAATACTATTTTAACTTGATGGTTCCAAGCTTGCAAATAAATAAATAAATTGTATTGAACCAAATTACTTCAAGGATAACATAAAAAAAAAAAAAAAAACAAACCACCACCTAATTAGCAGACACTTCACCGATTTCAATGGTAAATTTATTAAGTGATGTTTGTTTTGACTCTCATCTGCTTTCTCTGCTCCTAACAGACAATAAATAACCTTGTTTTAACAAATAAGCAGTACCAAGGGCACTACTTGTTGCTATTGAGACTTGGGTTGCTTCTGTGGAACAGCCCATCTTAACAGAGAAGCAGGGGCAAAGGGCAGTTGCAATTCTGTTTGAAATAGACCATATTAATCCTGTGACATGGTAACATCTGGTCTTAATGAGAGTAACAGCACCTAGCTCAATGAATCCTCAGACTCCACTCATAATCTTGAGCACTGCTTGTAATAGATGGATCTCTTGTAAACTGAAATCCACTTTTTTTTCTTTTTGCACTCCTGCAGACAAAAGCCAGCAAAAATGAGCACAGAATATCAAAAAACAAACACGGATGCATCACAAGATACTAACTAAATCTGAAATGGGTACATTTACTAATAATATATTGTACAGTCTCTCAAGGAGCATGCTCATAGAAAAACCTTCTTCCCCTACAGATGCAATTCACAGGTTGGGAATTATTTAAAAATTAATAAATGGTAGCAACTCTCAAAGGGTTTACATGTGGACATACACTGTAATCACAGGGAAAGAAGGTGCCAGCAGTTAGCAGGTACCAGAAATGCTGATTCTACTGCATGTTCAGCACTTAAATTCTTCAACAGCTCACCTATACCTAAGTGTGCACATGCACCCTCTGCAAAATCCCCTCTTTGCATTCCATTTAAGGTATCACCTCCTTCCTCTTTTTCCTCACCAGGGAGTGCATAATACTGCCAGACTGGTGAAGGTTGCAAATCTGATTGTTAATTTTAAAACTCTGTGATTTGTCTGTATTTGGGGACAGGGTAGATACTGAGCCCAAGAGTAAAATGTGGATGACTGAAAATGCTGCCTCTTCATGTACATACACACACATGAAAAAAAAAAAAAGACAAATCCAAAACAAACCAGAAAAAGTATGCATAGCTGCACAGGTCCAACACCTGAGTTCGGAGTCTCTTGCCTAAGCAAACCTCAGCTACAGAGCAAACAGCTCCAGTGAACACCTGTGGGGCCACGTACAGGTAAGGTAAAGTCAATAGAAAAAGCAAAAGCATGGGGAGGAACTATGCACTTTTGTGGTAAAGAACAAAAATCAAGATGCAGTAGACCAAAACACACACACAGATACACACAAATTTCCAATACAAAGCTAAGAATTGCAGAAGCACGTACATCTTGCACAGACTGTTCTCCTGCTGTGCCATCCTAAGAAGAGCACCTGAGAAGTACAGAGCCACCTTGCCTTACACAGATTCCCTGAAAACCAAGAACCACATAGTGGCAAAAATGAGAGGTGGAAAATAGGGATGATCAGTACCCCCATACCAGCTAAAACCAAGATAATTCTTGGTCATTTCCTTTTGCTTACTGGAATAAAATACTACATTTCAAAACACATAAATTGGAATCTGTCATGAAGTCATTTGTATCCCATTCCTCACTGTAAAAGTATTAGCTGGTACAGTTGAAAATATGGAAAAATTACTAAACATAGCAGTGTAAGACACAGTGCATCATTCAAAGTGTTACTTGAATAAAGTACTTGGTATTTTCCTCCTAGCAGTCAGAAATAAAGAAAGTGGTCTGTGTTATCAGCAGTAACAACTTGCACTGGAAATTAACTACTGGATAAATATATGGGACTAGCTGTTTAGCTCAATTTTTCAGAGGTAAAGCAACTATATTGTTTAAAGGAAGAATGATTAGTTCACCATGCAGCTTAAAGCACAGGCACAAAAATATGGTAAAGGAATGCTGATATACCTACCAAATACACTACTCCAGCAGCCTCAGCGACTCTTCCACTGTTTTCAGCTATGAAAAACAAGCAGGGAAGAAAATGTTGATTTCCCTAAAGCATGTCTGAGTTCAATATATTATTCTCTCCAAAAAATCCAGTGTTGTTTTTCCTTAAATAATTGATGTTAATTAGGAATATATTTTTATACTCAACAGAAGGAAAGGCAAAAGGAAGAGGAAAGTGATGAAACACACAAAAGGATCTTCTATCCAGATTGTGCTGACCCAAAACATTACCTCAGTTGCAGTAATGATACTCCCTCTCTCATCAGTTCAAAAATAAAAACTGTTTAAGTTTCTGTCATGGATTCACACACGCAGGCATTCTGAAGGACAGATAAGCAAATCAGCTCAGCAAGTACATTTACATGGAAATGTATTTGTACATGTTGTTTTCCAGGAAACATCTGTTTTGGCGCAGTTATTTGAGTTGAAAATAAAATACATTTCTGATTTTATGGGTGAGAAACTGATTTTACTGAACATGAAGGAATCCATCTTTCATGAATGTTTACTACAGATGTGAAAATGAGATGCTGTATCACGCACGTAGTTTTCCGCATTTGGTAGAGCATAACATTCCTGACTTCTGAACAGCAGATTTCATCCTTCTGCTTTGCCAACCCAGCAGTGCTTCATTGAGAGGGAGATGTTTTAGACTCTGAGATATTCAAGCAAATTAACATACAGCATACTTTTATTTCCTGCATTAATATACTACCAGTCTGAGCAATTCCTTTTACTGTGCTCAGCTGAAGTATGATATAGAATTGCTGGTACCTAGTAACCTTCCACTACAGTTAATAAACAATCACGCTGACTAAGTCTCAAGACTAAGACATTAGAGGCAAAGACCGAGCAAAACAATTTGTGCATTTCAGACACCCAGGAGGAAGGCCAAGTCTCTCTGCTCACAAGGTCCAGCTCTTGGGAATTTGCATGAGACCTGCCGAGCGGGAATTCGGAGAACAGATGAAGAATCCAACAAAAGCAGCACGCAGGCGCTGGGAAGCGACAGCAGCCCCTTATCCCCTGTGTGCCCACCTGCCCACCGACCGCTGCCTCCACCACCCAGCCACCGCCGGTACAAAGCCAGCGCACACCCCAGCAGCACGTGAAGACCACGTGGAGCTGGAGCGGACCCTGAAAAGAGAAGGCGCATCTTACTTGGATGTCTGTGCCTCCAAGTAAGGACAGACCCTGAGGAAAATCCCTCTGGAAAGGCAGGGCCATAAACAGAGACAAAAAGGAGGAAAAAACCCAAGGACGCACGGGCGGGCTAGCAGGCAGCTCTGAGGGGACACACAAGCCCAACCCCACCAGAGCTAACAGGCAACCGCTCTGCTCAGGCTGGGGAAACCTCCCATCGAGGGACCCCTGAAGATAGACAGTGGTGCTATCCCCACATTTTACAGATTCCTCTCCAACTTCTCATTGATATTCTGGAAGAAATTACCTGTTTTTTTCTGATATTGCCATGAAATTCCTATGTCTGACTGCTTGAATAAAAACGTATCAGCTTAACCAAGCAAGATAATCAAAATCTCTTCAACTGACAACAGTTAGTTATACCCAGACATGATTAATCAGACTAAAAGGTACTGAAAACTGGGGTTTATTAAAAAAAAAAAAAACAAACCAAAAACAAAAAAACTTTTTTAAAAGTAATTCTTAAAAAAGTGAACTAGAGAGCAAACACTTACACAGTCTTCCAAAAAAAGGTTATGGTTTGGGGGCAGATGGAAATGGAGAGGTGAAAAAGGTGAGTCACAACCTTTCGGTTTTAGTTTTACATAGGGTTAACATACAGTAGCAAGCATCCTTGAAAGAGGAATCCCATTGTTGGTTCTCACTCACAGCTGGATATTACCCACAAGTACCACCATTCAGTCACATGGCCAGAACCAGTTACAACCAGCAGCAACCTCTACCTTTCACTGACTGCCTACAGAGGTCAGAAACTGGGTCTAATACAACCATCACAAAACATGGCACACAGATTCACAGATTTTTTTTTTTTTTTTTTTTTTAATCATCCTCTGCAGCAACACTGTTTGGGGGTAGTTTTTTTCAAGTTTGCAAATCAAAAGAGGTCAAGCATTTTTCCAATGGAGATTTAAAGTTTGTACAATGAACTCAAGCCTGCCGAGCACAAACTTTCTAAATACCTTTTTCAGGAATCCACAAACTGCAGGCTGAAAGAAAACAAAACAAAACAGCAAAAACTCCGAAACATTCAGCAATAGCCACTTTTCCAACTTCTGCACTTTGGACAACTGGCTCACTTCACAGTGGCAATCACCCCCCACCCCCCCCCCCCAAAAAAAAAAATTCAGACACGGATGCCACAGAATGTCACTGAGTCACTATTTGCCCAAATTATCAAGTTACACTTTTCACAGGAACAGGAAGGGGAGAAGCATTTACAGCACAACATGTTCAGCAAATGAACTCTCATCCTTCTCAGGAGTAACCATCATTTGACACTCAGTTCAGACCTCAGGTCTTCCTTCTCCAATGTATTTCGAACTAAAAGTAACAGATCAGGAGGGTACAAAAACACTGAAAAAGTGTCGGATGTTCAACAGGGGGAGAGTGACTGTTACCAGTTGTCCACTAATTATTTTTCAACTTGGTAAGTGTCTCTTCTTTCAAATGACTACCTTACAAGAAGTTAGTAACTAATCACCCACAATGTCTCACCCTAACTGATTAAAAAGCAATCCCAAACAGGTGTGCAGCTGAACATATATATGCTAGAGGTCTAAGTTAGGGATCTGTTCTGATGCTGGGTAACCATAGGTAACTTGACAAAATCCTCTGAAATACCTGCACAAAGTTTCCAGACATGCTGTCTAGGTGTAGGTGTACTGGTAGACAATACTACTACCACCTGAAAATACTGTGCATGAAAACAAAATTAAACAAGGAATCTTATACACCAGCATGACCTCAACAGTTAGTCAGACTGTTAATTTCTTTTTAGGAAAATATTTTGTTGTTGGCATTTTTCCCATGTAACATAAACTATCTTGTCAGGATCACAATTAATAGGGCATCCACTTGATCTTAAAAAACAAACAAACAAAACAAAACAAAACACAATAAAACCAACACAGTAGGAAATGAGATATGTGGTGACAAAACCACAAAATTGCTACCAACCCGCCCATCCCTGTAACACTACACCTACAGCTTCACTGTAAAACATGCACAGCTCCTCCTAGGGGGAAACAAAAAAAAAAAAAGTCAACACTGCAAACAGTTCTTTATGAGCAAAGTGCAGTGAAGATGAAAGGCCATTTTACAAGGCTCAACCCAAGAGCAAGGTTAATTAAAAACCTGATCAACTACTCCCATCTTCAAGTTGACAAGGGAACCCAATAAAGCAAAGCAAGGTAAACTTCCTGGGCGCGGGAAATAAAACCCAGTATGTATTGTGTACCCAGCAGCCGAACCAGAATTTCTGCGGCGGTGAGGAAAGCCTCCGGAGGCACAAAGTTCTGGAAAGCCACGAGCCACCCCAGCAGGGGCGAGGAGAGAGACCCCCGCAGCTCCGGCGGCCGGCAGGGAGCCGAGGCAGGGAGCCGGCTGGAGGAGGAGGAGGAGGAGGAGGAGCTCCAGGTCACAGCCCTGGTTCGAAGGGACCCCGAAAGACCGTCTGGCCCGACCCTTCCCGGGAAGGGGAGGCTGGAGGAGATTATCCCCCACCCTGCCCTTTCCCATTTCTAACGTCATTGTTATTTCTACCTCCGCTGTAAATAACGAGATGTTCAGCGCTCAACACGCTTCCCCCTGTGCGAAAGACCCCGAGGAAAAAAGCAACACCATCAAACGCCCCCAGTGTTCGGCAGGCACGCAAGATAAGCCCGGCCGAACCGCCCCGGTTCGCGGGCACCTTCCCCCGCCATCCCCGGCGAGCGACAAGTTCCCGGGGGGCGCGAGCCCGCCCGCTCCCCCGGCCCCACCGCCCGGCCGCCGCCCACGACACGCACACCCACCGGGCGACGCCGCGTCCTCGCCGGCCACCGGCTGCGGGGCCGGCCGGGAGGAGCCCGGCGGGGCAGAGCGCCGGCCGTGCGGCGGCGGGCCGCCCACCGGGGTCCCTGACGCCGCGTCGCCCCCCCGCCGGGCGGGCCCGCCTCAGCCCCCGCAGAGGCCGCCGCGCGGGGGGGTGAGGGGGCTGCCGGAGGCCCGACCGCACCAGACACACCCCCCCACACACCCCCAGCCCCGCGGGCAGCGGCGGGGGCCGCGGCTGCTCACCTCGCCTCGCCTCGCCTCGCCTCGCCTCGCCGTGCCCAACTGGAAGGCGACGGCCGGCCCCGCGGCTCCCTGCAGCCCCCCGGCGCCCGCTGAGAGGGAGGGCGGGCGCGCAGGAAGTCTGGCGGCCGCAGGGGCAGCGAGCGCTCCCGGGCAGCCCCCGCCCCGCCCCGCCCCGCCCCGCCCCGGCCCGGCCCGGCCCGGCCCGGCCCGGCCCGGCCCGCCGCCGGCCCCCGCCTCAGGCACCGCGGGGCCGGGAGCGGGGCCGGGGGGCACCCGCGGGTCGGGACGGCACCGCCCGGCGGCGGCTGCCACCCGCGCCCCGTCCCACCGGCGCCGCCGCCGCCGCCCCAGGGGCGCCCGGTCTCCGCGGCGGGGTCTGGGCTGCGGCAGAGCCGCGAGTCCACGCCCGCCTCGGTTAAAGCGCCGGGCAGCCCCCCCCCAGCACCCCCTGCCCTGCCTTCCCCTGCCCTGCCCTCCTCTCCCGGCCGAGTAGTTCAGGCAGCGCCCTTAACCAGCGCTTTAGCCCAAATTTCCAGTCCTGACCGCAGGCGCTGGAGTTTCTGGAAGGCGGCGTCTGGGAAAAGCTGAGTGTCCTAAACCAGAGGCGAGTGAAATACAGCTCAGGAAGGCTGTTTTAACACTTACTTTTTTTGACAGCCAAGTGGATGAAGCGGGTGTTTTCTTCGTTCAAAAATTTCCAAGCAATAAAGGAGTTGGGCAGCGTGTTTCTTCCATGGTCATTAACTCAACTGGATGCTTTCCACCACCTAGAGCTGAATGTTGTTTCTGCGTGTTAGCTTTTGCAAGTGGAAGATAATCGGAGTGGAAGCGGACTGGAAAAGTTGCTGCAACAGGAGTTGTAGGCTATGAGAAACGCAAAAGAATTTATTAATCTTTGGTAGAAGTTGATATTTCAAGATCAGTTTTCTTAATGACATGGCAGATTAAACAAAAAATTGAAATTTCTAAGGGAACAAAGACCACAAACTCTACAAAATAATATTTCACACATCAGAAGATAATGCTGAACATGAACCTTTCTTCCAGTCCTTGAAGACCATTTAAAAATTGATCAGTGTAAGACCTGCATTTTTCATGGGAAAAAAAACAAAACAAAACATTTATTTATTTTTAATAACAATAATGCATACAATAGCTTTGTCTAGCTCAGAAACAGAATTTTTTCTTAAAAGTTCAAAGCCGTGTTGGATCAGATCCCTCTAGTTAGGGAGATACATGATTTCCCAAGTGGGAGCTTTTTCCATTTCTTTTTCAGTTTTTATGGAAAAGTGGATCCTTCTTCAGCAGTCCAGCACAGCCAAAGTCTACGGTTATAACCTGACTAAAAACAGGGTTTCAAATGTTTAGGGAACTGAACTGTTTGTTGAGATTCATAAAAACACAATGAGACTCAGAAACAGCACATTCATCTTTGTAAGACAAGAAGACATTAAAAGTAAACACTAATAAAAATATTAATTAGGAATAATTGTGCAAACAGAAAAAAATAAGGACTGTCTGCAGCTGGGACCACCTGATTGACTAATTTTGCCCTGCTTGCTAACAGACAGCTAAAAATTCTGGAGACATAACCCCATTATTTTCCCTGTCTCATGAGGTTGTCTTGAAGAGAACAGTTCTGTCCAGAAGTTAGGGGGGGGATGGGGGGACGGGAGAGGGGGAAATCATCATTTAGATACAGAAATGACTGACATATCTCAAAACCTTATTGACGATTCTTTAACAGGGAGAGTGATTTTTTTTTCATAGGGAGAGTGAAGATCCAGCACTATCCGCAGTATGGATCCAATGAGAAGAAATTAACTTAATTGAATTTTAAAAATGCAGCACTAAGCAGTTAGCAAAACGTGATTCAAAGAACATTTAAACACATAAACTCGACAGAATTCATTCAAAATGTTTATCCGCAGCCATCACTTACCAGTGTTTCAGAAAATATCAGTAACTGATACCGGCACAGAGGGAGTTGTGAAAAGCTCAGATGCTGCAGAGCAGTGGTTCTTATGTTAAAAAAATACCTGCTGTATTTAATCATCATATCCATAATTTCTTTCCCTATTAATACTTTAAACTACAACTATATCCAATCATGCGCGAAAATTAGTAGAACATTCAATATTAACAAAAAATGTATCTTTATTTAAAAATTTAACAGCCATGTATTTTAAGAGGGAACTAACAAAAATACAAGTTTTGTCTTTAAATATAGATGTGGTAAAGCAAAGAATTCTTGCAAGAAAAACACTCATTTTGGTTTAGAAGAACGAAATGGATGGCATATAGCAGCCAGACCACTCGGCGTGGTTTCCTGTTTACTATAGATTCACAGCCCTGCAGTGGTCTTTCAGAACTATATCCTAACGCTGCTTCGAAGCTGATAGAAGTGCACATCTACATACTTCAGACCGCAGAAAAGTTGGGGATCTCAGCAAGATCTTTTGGGACGGGTACTGGAAGCAATACACTTGCGAAGGGATTGATTATATGAGTTTCACAAGACAGTGTGACCCTCAACCTGGGACACAGCTGGCCTTGAGAAGGAAGCCAGATTTGTACTTGATAAATGGTACGTACTGAGGACTGAGTGTTAGTGACTTACTGCTGCCAAAATAGAGTCTGAAGAGCACAGTCTAGACATAAAATAATTTGCAGAGGGCTGCTAGTGGAGCACCTGCATAATTTGTATCTGTTCCAGAGGTGTGTTTGAAAAATCAAAACTACTGTTTAAACAGAAGTAAGAAAACTAGATGTGCTTTGAGAAAGAAAATCTGTGCAACAGTGGTTATTTATCATTAGATAAACTGGAAAAACAGCAGTAGATATGTGATCATTGGCATGTACATATATATAGCTGGCATAGCACTGACACCAGGGTGCATACACGTGCAAAAATTGAAAGTTGGCAAATTAGTCAATGGTAAAGGAACAAATGTTGTTTTGTCTGTGTCAGAAACATTAAAACTGATGGTGGTGCACTTTTTTTAACACTGTGAGTTATACCATGAAAGAAAACAATATTCAGTACATGCCTTTATCATATGACTTTTGTTATGTTGGTAGGAGTCTGCACAGAAACTTTTTTATAAGCATTAGGTTTTGATAGATGTTAAAAAGTCCCTAAAAATGAAACACCTTTGGTACAAAGTACTTTGCAGTTGATGCTACAAAAATAGTACATCTGTTTTTTCTTGAATTCCTAGACAAATAAATCAGGAGAGTTAATCCACACAAAAGATTGTTCTGAAGTGTGGATGTACTACGTTTCCAGGGAGTGACGGACAAACAATTGCTTGGCATGCACAATCTGTATCTTTTAGATAGTACCAGCCCAGTGTTATGTGTCTGTGCTTTATGTGGTATTTCTGATACTTCCATGAATGAACAAAAATAACGCTAAAAACTCCCAATACCTCTCTCTCTTTTCTATTTTAGAAAATACATTCTAATTTTCATTGTGCTTTTTTCATTAACCGAAGCACGAGGATGCTAATTATTTACTTTTCTAACATATGGGGAAAGAGCTATAGCATTTTTAAGTGCCATGTTGTGACTATTAAGAAGGGATAGATCAAACCCTGCTTGCATAACCCCTGTTTGATTAGTTCAGGCCCTTCTAAAAGTTTGTTAGTTATTTAAGATGCATTACCTCAGTGGCTGGGACATAGAGTGTATCTCAAACACAAAAAGTGTTTTCTTTTCTAGGATGGCATGCAATCTTTCATATTACCTGAATTCCTGAGTGCCTGTAAAATGGATTGTAGCTGTAATCGTAAGACCTGTTGATCATGCAAACAGCTGATCTCTTCTTTGCTCTGCACTGTTTAAACAAACTCATGTGACAGATCTGAATGTGGCCTTTATTTCAAATTCTTTATTTCAGACTGCACTACTTGTGAGGAAGTGCATTTTTTCAGTCACAGTGCCTTGCAGTGAGAAGAGAAAAATAAATGTCCTACTATTCCTTGCAAAACTATCAGTTTAATAATCTTGATCCTGCGGAGTTCCTTCACAAATTTTTTGGGGTTTTTTCCTGACCTTCTCTGTGCTCATTTGTACGTAAATACAAATGCACAGATAATGCCTAACCGCTGTAACCAAATTTCCTCACGTACACTAGATCATTCCGATTTGAATACATATACTCTCACAGATTGTTAGATGTGAGCTCCACCTCTCTTCTTGCCTCTCCAATACTACAGAAACACGGCCTTTTGATGTTTAAAAGGTATTAGAAGTTTTGTTCTAGCCTCATTGGTCAGGCAAGAAAGCATTGGTCTAGCAGAGAGAAAACAGATTTGAAAAACTCTGATTTGAATCTCATCCCTGCCATTAGTTTCTGTGCAGGCCCAGGCAAATCATTTAGAATCTTAGGTCTGAAAATCAGTATCTGTCTCACAGCCAAGGAAATGATATAGAGCTGGCGTAGAGTGAGTTTTGGCAACCGCTTTTCACCTTTTTATATATACATTGCTAGTACCCCTGGATATTTTTAACATGAATTAAAAAAATCAAATGTTTATATACCATGTTAACTGATTCCCTTACTACCACGTGGTTCATGTGTATCCTGCCTTTTAATACTCCTTGAACTGGTAGTATTTCAGGTGATATTTCGCGTCCATACTGGACAAAACGATTCACAAGGATTTGTTTTTTATGGAAGCTTTCACAGCACTAGTAGTTGAAACTTTGTATTCTTTCTTCTTGTTATGAAAACACAACACATACATATAAAAAGATCATCCAGGGATTTCTAAATGCTGAAGAACTGTAAGTATAACTCCAACCCTCTCCCCATTCTTCCACCCCTGCAAAAAAAAAAAATCCCAAAACAAAACCAAAGAAAAAAGATTACGTTACAGAGGAAGCAAATGTAAGACCAGTTGTGTTGACATAGATACTCATCTTTAGACCCTACACTCATGCTGATTTTTAACTGAAACTATGATGTTAGCTGGACTCACCTTTCCTTCAGTAAAATCCTGTCCCTCACAAAGCCAAAAAAGGTGTAGTCACTCACTTGTTAGAAGTCAAGATTTTATCTTCTGTCTTTTCTAGTCAGAACATCTTTTCAAACCAGTGCTTTACTGTGTTAAAGGTGCTGA